CATATTTTGTGGGAATGATACCAGGCGGGTCACCTTCGCCTAGTGAAGCCTTATATGATTGCTGTTCAAAGCAACAATGTTTCTGCTGTGAATGAGGCCCTTAACGAGATATATGTTGAAGAGGAAGACTATGACAGACTACGTGAATCAATTGAATTGCATGATAGCTTTGATCAGATTGGGCTTGCACAGAAGGTGATGGCTGGTTGCACTAAGTTGTCTTTCTTCGTAGTTATCATATGCCTGATAATAGTTCCATTTCTTGTTTTTCTGTTTGAGCAGATAGAGAAACATGAGCTCCTTGAGATGAGACGTGTTGCTGCTTCTATTTATAAAAAGGCTGGTCGGTGGAAGCAATCCATTGCTCTATCAAAGAAAGATAATCTTTACAAAGATGCAATGGAAACAGCCTCACAATCTGGGGATCGTGAACTTGCTGAGGAGTTGCTTGTTTACTTCATTGAACAGGTATCTGTGGTTAGGATTCAAGATTCAGCCGTACCTATCCTCCATTTCTTCCCCCAACCACTACCAAGTATCAACTATGTCATAATCTAAAAATAGTTGGACTAATTAAATGATTCATCAATATCCGTTTTGCTCAATTTGGACTTGTTTGATTCCAATACTTTGGAATCTTCCAAGAGAACTTACAGGTTTTCTTACTCTCAGGTTCTCTTGGTCTCATACTTATTATCACTAGGGCATAAAATCTTTAAACAAACAAAAAAAACTTTAGCAAGTACTAGACTTGATGCAAATGTTTCAACTGGGCTATAAGCTTTTATCCCAACTAGTTGGTATCATCCCTCCCAAAAAAACCATGAAGTTACTGAATGCAAATGTTTCAACTAGACTCTGGGGCATTTGCATCTAAGATAACACATGAGTACATAATTACTGTTATAAATCATGAAGGTTAGGTGTGGTTGTGGGGATAAATATTCTGGCACCTTGGAGATCCTAGTAATTTGTTATTTGAACCTTTTATAGTTAACATTTCTCAGACTTGTAATCAATGAAGCAATTTAATCTCGAACTAGTTGGGATCAGCTATATGGATCCAACTAGACTATTTTTCTGTTGGCTGTAAATCACCACAACCCTCATTTATCTGGCTTGGTACTGGCTATGCTTTCTGGGGATCGCATATGCAGAGTTGTCATCAGCAACTAAAGAACGAAGGGATTTTTTTTGCTTGGGAAGTAGATCATATTAAATTTTTCTTGGAAATGATATTGCTAGTCCAAGAGTAGAGTAACTTTGATTGCATTAATTTTGCATTTGGTTAAAGCTCATCTAATCTGTAAATATTTACTGTGGTGGAAAATGCATTCAATCTTCTAATTCTTTTGTGTGCTTTTGCAGGGAAAGAAAGAATGCTTTGCATCATGCCTATTTGTTTGTTATGATTTGATCCGCGCAGATGTTGCCCTTGAGTTAGCATGGATGAATAATATGATTGACTTCGCGTTCCCTTATCTATTACAGGTACCCTCTGAACTCCTTTCCTTCCATGTCTGTTTATGCAGTCTTGCATGTGCCTATTTCGTCCTCTGCTTTTTGGTTGTTGTGCCCTTTCGTCTGGTAAACGTATTGATAATGCCTTTTAAATTTTGATGGGTGTCACGCAACAAATTGAATTCTCTTATATTGCGTCCATAGCATCATGTGGTATATATCTTTATAGTAGACTTCTGTGCAAGTAAATCCGATCTCCAATTTGAGACTAGTATCAGTCACTTGTTTGACAAGTCTACATCCTAACCCTTGACCTGCCCCAGCATCTTTGAAACATGATAATTGTTTTTTTCAGTTATTAGAACATACTTATTTTTTTCACTAACCTCTGTATAGTGCTAGTCCTGTTTTATATATTTCATTATGTTTGAGGGGAAGTATGTGAAACTTTTCATGACTTTTTAGATATGCCTCTCTAATAAATACCTTCTACCTTCTCTTTTGTTCCCCCTCGTCATTTTGCTGTCTGCCTTAGGCTTTTTGATTTTTTAGTAGTTCAGTGCTATCTGCATCCACATTCTAATTTGGGTCCTCTCTGGCACAGTTTATCCGTGAATACACTGGCAAGGTAGATGAGCTGATAAAAGATAAGATTGAGGCTCAAAAAGAAGCAAAAACCAAAGAGAATGAAGAGAAGGATGTTATGAAGCAGCAGGTAGTTATTGACTTGTCTATGATGAATGTATTTTGCCTATTTTCCTTCTTTTTAGCCTTGGAGGTAATAGAAGTTGCAGATTGTTTTGGTAATGTCATGACAAGCACCACATCACATGCATGGCTGTGGCAAATTGACCATCTGTTTTACGCAATTATCTTCTCGACCCGGTCTTGCTAATCCTGTTCATTTTTTTGGTTGCAGAATATGTATGCTCAGCTGCTTCCTCTGGCTTTGCCTGCTCCGCCAATGCCAGGTATGGGAGGTGCTGGTATGAGTGGAGGTTTTGCTCAGCCGCCACCACCTCATATGAGTGGAATGGGAATGCCTCCGATGCCTCCATTTGGCATGCCACCAATGGGTTCCTACTAATCTGACGGTGTAACCCCACTGGTGAAAACAAAGCATTATGAAGAAAGGACACAATCGGGCTTTTTAAATTTTATTTTATTTAGTCTTCCCCTCTGTTCTTTCTCCGGTACCTTGCAGTTAGTTGCGGAAAGGAGGGCACAAGTGGAGACTATGAGAAATAATTGTTTCTGTTGTGTGTCATAGTGTGTTGATATCTCCTTGTAATATTCTTTTAGAAAAGGCATTTTTTGCAGTTAGGCACTAAGTTGAGGATATTTTGTAGACAACTATGTAAAGATGCACTATATTGCTTTAACTGGTTTTTCTGGGGTTGGTGTTTAATTTTTTCCAGTTTTCAATTGTTGTAATTTTTCCAGGTATCCTTTTGGATAAAATCATGTTGAATGCTTTCTTTAGTATGTTATCACCAGTTGCTGTAAATGAAAGTATTGTGCTTCTTGTTTTCTATTTGATCTGTGACGAAATTTAGTGGCTGACTAAACTGAGTGAGTATTATTTCTCTTTACTAGTTGTATAAAAAGATGAAAGATATATTTGACTACGTCCATAAAGATGTTATATGGTCATTTTGATCAACTTACCTCTATCGCCTGAATGATGAATTGCCATGAAAATCAGTATTAATTACAACAGGTCAAGTTGCAGAAGTTCTGTAAAGGTAAATTTGCTGCTGATATTTTTTCGAAAAGTGAGCAGTTATTATTTTCATAATTGAGTAATTACTTCTGATAATTATGGGTTAGTGTCAGTGTTACATTACTATATAAGAAGAGGGAATAACTACTATATAAGAAGTCAACTTGTGTTCCAATAAGAATAACTACTATATAAGAAGTCAACTTGTGTTCCAATAAGAAGAGGGAATAACCAATATATTAATAAAAAGAAATGACATATAAAATGAAATGGAGAGAGTATTAGTTTTTGAAAATGGAAAAGGACAAAACACATATAAAATTAAAAGACATAAAAAAAAGGTGGTTTAACTCTTAAACATAAAAAGTAACATATGTTATTAAAAACTTTAATAAAAAGTACTATAATTTACAATAAATAATAACTTAAAATATCTACAAGACAACAAAAAAAGACTAATTTTTGTACTGCTTGTGTCACATAAATTAGGATTCGGATGATTTTAAAATTTTAATTTTGGTTATACATTATAAAATAGCCGAAAAATTGAATGATATCATTTTTTAAAAAATAACCCAATGAATCGTCCTATCGATAACCCTAATGTTACTTCTACTTTGTTTATTTTTACTTAAATTTAGAAAGATATGCTTCATTTATACCCTTAATCTTATCGCTACATTTATTTGCTATTTAAAATTGAAATTAAAAAGACAAATGACAAATAAGTTTCTATATTAGCTCACTTATGAGCAAAATATATTATAACAATCTTTACTAATTTTATAACAATACATAAACTATACTCCCTCCGTCCCATATTAGATGGGCACTTCCAACTTTACACGGTGATTAAGAAATCATTAATGCATTGGAAGACTTCACCATTTTGCCCTTTGTTTATATCAATGCACATTGAAATGAGTTACAAAAAATACACATACAATATAGGAATGGTCATATTAATTGTAGGGGTAAAATGGAAAATAATTAATTAATTCTATCCTAATTTAATAAGTGCTCAAATAATATGAAAAAAATATTTTTAGTAAGATTCTCATCTAATATGGGACGGAGAGAGTAACAATATAACTTTATTAATGTTGGGCCCGACAGCGCCCGGACTTTCTTTACTAGTATATCTAGAAGGTGAAACTGTATGCTCTAAATTATTAGGGTTAATGATAGTACAAAGGACTACTGCGTCTTTGCTTTTTGCTTGGACTAGAAGAAATAAAACTTTTTATTAAGAAGATATATAGGGCAAGCCAGATTTTTGTGTTACTTTCAGCTAACCTTGCATTTTAGCTGTTGTTTAAGTTAAAAAAATTTGCCCCAAAACAAACTCTGAGATTAAAGTTGACAATCGTTTTCTATTATATCCTTAATATTAATGAAATTGTAGTTATTTTAATACTGTTAAATTCTTCAAATAGACCTAATAAATAAAGGTATTTTAGTAAATCATAGGAGTACCTTATACAGTTATTTTAAACTATATATACCTTTAACATTAAAGTAGTAGTTCTTTAATATTACTAAATTCTTATTATACCTTGTATTTATTGTTTTTCTCAATGAATTATGGAAAAAACTAAGGTTGGCACATATATCGGACAAAAGTCATAAGAACAAATATCATACAATTGAGGTTTTAGGTATACAGGACAAAATTATAGCACTAGAGACTCTTGTAAAACATTATCGGACCATTGAAAAATTATCAAAACCATAACAAACTTAATGTTGTATTAAACATCCTGCTAGAAAAGAATGTGATATATGATGATTGATTCCACAGCACGAATCGGACAACTTATTTTGGAGGGCAATCTGTTGGTCGAAAAGCCAAAGGACCAGCAGTATAAATTACAGCTTTATAATTACTTCTATCAATAACTTTATCATCAAATCTTAGTGGTGCACCATTGATTCCATAATTAATATTACTAAAAACATTGCATTTTTCTTGTGGAGAATTAACCAATTTCACACGACAAGATTGAAGTGGATGATCAAGATAAGAATGTCCCATTTTATAACCTTGTAACTCTGCATAAAAATAACCATATTCATTTGTCTCAAATGCCTTATAAAAATTCACTCTTTTCTGGTAGTTTTTGCATATGACACTAATTTTAGCAGATGCAATTGGCTTTGCCCCTAATAATGACCATGATCCATAAGTATCACAACTTTGACAGTACACCATGCCTTCAATCACCACAGTCGTCTCAACGGGCTGGGCCGGGCCATGACCATACCCGAATGCTAGAAGGAGTGACGATACGAATAGGATAACTTGGATTTTAATAGCCATATCTTGTGTGAAATTAATTTTTTGATGATGTTAATGACATTTGAAATGATTATTCCTATGTATATATAGTTGTTATTTGGTATGGAATTGACATTTTTTGTTGATTAATAACGTGAAGGCCACTATTGTGTTTGTTAGAGTTGAAGGCTCATATATCCTTAAGATTGATTAACGTGATGACCATTTTCTCAAGTTTATAATCACATTGATATAAATATAGTTGAAGGAGTTGACTTATCTGTTTATTAATAACGAATAGGAATTAGATAGTGCCGAGACAAATTTAGGATTTAAACTCGTATTTTCAAAATTATGTGTTCAGACCTATTTATTAAAATTTCAGTGCATTTTTACGTATAAATCAATACTTCATATCAAAATTACTGGATTCATATTAATTCAATATCACAACACACCATTCGCCCCTGATGGTTAGAGATTGTTATTTACATTATTGGTGTAGTTTAACATGTGATAGTAGATAGTTATTATTTTTATCACATTATCAATTAATATTTATCAAGAAATATAACAAATTACTTGATTAATAATTATTTTGTACATCAATGTCAATGCACAAAACTTAAAGTTTTCTACAAATATAACCGGCCAAAGAACTATGCCAAACGCCCATTTTCTCCTTTGAATTCAACTAATTCGCGAGAAGCCTAAATGAATTAATGTTATCAATGTAATTAAACATGTTATGAATTAGTCTGTCTTTATAGACTGACTTTCCTCGCATCAAAGCTTTTCGGTTCTCTTCCTTTATGAAGAAAGGAAAGGCTTGCCGTGTAGGAGTCGGTCTATCCCAAAAAAGTTCAATTGATCCATCAAGGATAGGAGGGAGCAGGGGTATAAGTAGGGACTTCCTTTCAAGCCTTCTGCCTTACAGTCTATAGACCTTACCTCACTAATCTTTTATTTTCTCTCGGGATTTAGTTTGAATGATAAGTTATTTAATTGTTGTTATATGAATATATGTTACCACTATATACTTATTAAATAAAGTTACATATAAGTATATTTATCTGATGTGATTATGTAAATATTTTTTTTCGACATGAATACATAAAACTTAAATTACCTTTCGACTTCTATGATGATGTTTGATGCATGCATGGACCCTTAGGAAAATTCTTAAGTATATTTATACTTGCGTAACACTTAGACAATGGGGCAAACAAAGTAAATGGTATATTAGATTGGTCAATTTACTAATTTTTTTAAAATGAAAAGTCCATGATGACAAATTGAATATTTAGTCTATTTGTATAGTTCTATTATTATAAAAATATAAGAGTATGACTGATTTGTTTAATAAAATAGAGAAGAATTTGTCGACACAAGAAAAAATAAATTAATCACATTGCTTGCTTTCCAATGGATTGATCTTAATAGAGCAAAACATAACTTCTGAGATATTATGATACAAAAAAAATTAGGTCTTCAGGAGTAAAATTTAAAGACCAGAACAAAATAGGGCAAATGTGTTCATGACAATGGTTATTTTACAATTTCAAGTGTGGAAAAGTGACTATTTGTAAATTTTACCCCTATAAACTGCGAAAATCTAGTTTCTGAAAGGTTTTGCAAAAACTAAATTCGAATATCTCAAAAAACAAACACTAACTTCTTCTTTTGAAAAAAATAAATAAATGCAACTCAAACAGATAAGAGGATGCAAACTCAACTTGTGCATATTTTCAAACAAACACTTGTGAAAAAGAATGAATTCTAGTGATACATAAGAACAAAATTTGCTTCAATTTGAGAACTAAGTTCATTTTTTCTTCTTTTGTAGGCATAAAAGAGAGAAATAAGTGTAATATATATAAATAAATATACAAGGAAAAAGAGGCTGTGAATTTCACTTTCTGACTTTGTCATGTGGACGCCAAAAGCCTTTTTTAGCAACAAGAAACTGTTCTTGCTGCAGATTTACTGACCAATGAAGTGATTGAAGAATTGAGCTAAGCTTGTTAAGCATTGGCATTGTATCTTGAACTAAAACATATCCACCTGGTCTCACTATTCTATCCATCTCCACAACTACTTCCACCACGTCGCATCTGTGAAAACAGAGAGACCAAAAAGTTCGTCTCGTGAGAAAATATAGGATACAAATGAAACCACAGCAGCTACGACTACTCGACTAGGGTTATGGTGGGATGGATAGGATCCCTCCATTCTTAACCAAAAGTCTCAAGTTTAGGCTCTAAGAATAAAAAAAGTTCTGTTAAGCAGCGGTTCCACCCTTTAATTCGCCATACATGGCGTGAATCTGGATTAGTCAATAACCCAAAAAGGGTACTGAATACTAGGTAAGAAACCACAATGAGCAAATTAATCTGAGAAAGTAGTTATTGAACCTTTGAGTTAAATTTCCGAATAGGAAGCTGGAATGCAGAAGATCATATGTCCGAGGATAGGTATTGAAGGACTCGCACCAGTCGTGGTATATACCAATCAGCCCTCTGTCAAAGATAATGGAGAGAGTATCTGGCTCACTGATGGGAACGACATTCATTACCCAGAGGGGTCGATCAATGATTGCTGAGGCAAACCTGTAAATGTAATTACCATGGAAAGTCACCAAGTTAGGTCAACAGAGAAAATAAAGTTTGAATGACAATGTGCGTCTCCAATGTAGTTTCTCTCTTACCCTCCATAACCAGCATTCATGTCCATCACGTTCCTCACGCTTGACCAATTAATAGAAAGGCCTCCAAGGTAAACATCTGAGACCAACGCTGCCCAATGTTTTGTGTCCTCATCAAAAATATCTTCATTATCTGTTTTTTGGGATAAGCGTTCAGGTTTATTGTTGAGCCTCTGGGGCCAGGGTGTAGGCCACTCATATGTATTGCCACTGCTGCTCGTGGGGAGTGGTACAAGGCAGCTGTCCAGAGACGCATACCTGCTCATATGATATAAAAGAGATGATTGGAGCGGAATGATGACAATGTGATGAAGTCAAGGATACAATGATAATGACCATCAAGGTGTATTGAGCATACCATGAACTATTTGATCTATTGTTCTGGTCACATAGAGGTGGATTATTTTCTCTGCGGTTCTCATAGCAGGATGATGAAACCGGCTTTTGATATATAACAAGCCCGACACCAGCTGAGTCAAAAAAGGTCTTCTTCACCACCTTCCAGCATATTGCTTCAGTTAGTGCAACCATAGCTGCAAATGGAAAGAAAGTAAAGTGCCACTTAGAGATAATGAATAACTTACTTCAAGAAGCTTCACTTTTAAGCTCTGTGTTTTCTTGGTCTTCACAGAGCTTGTAGAATAAAATTCAGTGATCGCAAACAGAACAAAGGTACAAAATTCCAGTACTATGCCTAATCAGCATTCAGATTGAAGCTGATCATTAAATAAAAACTTATATAAGAATTTCAATTCGGAGAACTGAGTATCCACAAGTAAAAACCTTTCCAGACTTTCTTATCTCTTTCGTCGTCTCGATAAACGGGCGTTGCTGACCATACGAAAAACCCTCCAGGCCTAAGTATCCTGTTAAGTTCCATCAATGGTTTCCCTCCTGCAATTTCAGATTGAATTACTGAGTTTAAAACAGTATAGATGATGGTGTTGGAAATTTGAAAATAGTGAACTACCATCTCCATCCCAATGAACCCTGCATCTTGCACAATGAATCATATCATATGCATTATCTGGGAATGCCAGCTTTTGAGTTCCAATGACTGAGAGAGTAGCAGGAATTCCACGTTCGAGTGCAAACTGTATCTGAGCCTCATGTTCAACCTTTGGTGCAAGTGACATGGTATTGACATTTTTATCCAGCAAATACCCACCAAAGCTAGCAACACCACAGCCAACATCTAAAATGACCCTTATATGCTTTCCCCAGTCAATTTCTGGAAAAGTCTGAAAGAAAAAGTAAGAAACATCTCAGCTTAAAAATACATTAACTACAGTAGGGCTCCAGGGATCATCCCAAATTCCCAACATAATGACTGCAGAACAAATGAAAGATGAAGAAATAACCTCTCCCTATATGAGCAAGAAAGCAATTGAAAGAAGAAAAGAAAGGACAAAATTAAAGAAAAATGGAAATTAACGAAATAGTACTACAGTATACTTGCTGCACACTTGAGAAGCCCAAGATCACTCAAAGAATTTCAATTTCAAATTACTCGTTTCTTAGCCACTAATCCCTAAGCAGGCAACATAAACAATCGTGAAATGAAAATGAAAATACTTAGGTGTTAGTGCGTGTAGCCGTGTACGAATAGCTTATAAAACAAATACAACATGATTAGATAACTTGGAGAATACGCATTTCAATTGTTTATGGGTATTGTATCACTTTCTTTAATGTAATAATTAATGCTACAAACTTCTCGATCAGATATTCTTGAGAAATCCTATGGCCATTGCTAGTATGGAATAACCGTGTATGAACATGTATAACCCTTGGCTTCTATCTAGAAGCCTTTGGCTTTTGATTACATAAAAGTAACTTTTTTTCCCATAGAATGGTTCTAACTGCATCATTTCATGAAAGAGATATACAGAACCCTACTTGAAAATCACAGAGAAGTATCAATTATAATCTAAATTAACATATCAAAGATTCACCTGCATTTCATTTTACAGTAGAATTGGTCGAAGGAGCAAGGAGTTTGAAGCTTCTTTGAGAAATGTGTAAAGGTTCATATGAAAAACTCAGGACATGCAATATGATGTTCATCAAAGTTGACCAGTCCTAACTTCGTCACTAGAAAATGGATTTATACAGACAATCTATCCCTTTGAAATGGTCACAGAACAATGTATAGAGACAATAAAAAACATTATGCATCAAAAGTGGTCACAGCATCCAAACAGTAGCATTTCACTAATGTATGGCCAGAATTACAATTTAATTCAATTGACAAAAGCAACGAACTTGGACAAGTATGAAATCCAACAAAGTTTAACAGTAGTCCAAACATATATTGTATAATAATGTAGCTTGATGT